GGTAGGGCTGTGGCTGCTTGGCAGAGCTGCTTTGTGCAGCATGGGGCTTTCAGGGATGTGTCTTCTGCAGGACAGTGACTGTGAGGAATATTTTTGCTCCTTTCTGCCAAAGAACAGGTGGGCGTTAAAGATATGATTGTACCCTTAGAAACAATTTTGATAAGGGCACAACCAACTCTGAATCCCTTGTCTTCTGTGGTTGAGGTCAGTGACAACTGGACTGGGACCTGGGTCTGGAGGCAATGTTTCTGTTAGACACCTTCATGTTTTTTAAAGAGCTGTTTCTTCTTCCACCTCTTTCAACCTCTGAAAATCTATTGATAGATCACAGAGTACATCTTCCCTTGCATTTTTTTTTTCAAGCTTGGTTCATTGGCTCATGTGTGAATTTTGCCATCTTGAGTGGATATTTTTGGCTTTCCTTACCTCCCTCCCGCCTTTCTTTTAAAGAAACTTCTAATTTTAATTTGAAAAGAAAATCTTGCTGACTATCTGGGAGCATATGGATCTTTAATACCTTTCACAACTTGGCTATTCATATTTATAAAGTAAATTAGGAGAACTTCAAAGGAGGTGTTGCTGCTTTTTATGTCAATAACAAGTTTTATTTTCTAAACTTGTTGAGAGTGTATTTACATAACAGAAGCCTGCAGCTTCCCAGGAGTTCCTGGGGCCTAGTAGGGCAGTGCTACATTGCTTTCCAGTTTCTGGAGAGCTTTTCGCTGTTTGAAATGCCTGTATTTTTCTGTAAGAGCCCTTGTACTGTTGGCAAGATGTCAGTGTAGCTTTCTTGCACTGGCAAATCTCAAAGGCCTCTACAAAGCTGGCCACAGTGGAGCAATGCCACCCCCAGACAAGGTGGGAGGAGGAAAGTTTAGAGAAAAGCTTAGCACAGATGTGATCTAAGATGATAGCAATCCTGCAGGTGTTTTACGTCAGTACATACGCAAAGTATTTGGCCTGAGCACTCTGTCCATTGCAGAGGTGCTGGGCTCTGTATGCCCTTTGCACAAGTTGTGGTGGCAACAGCCCTGCTGCAGTCTGCACGCTGCCTGAGCCATCCGTCTTGTCTCCTCCAAGCCAGCATGTGGATCTGTTCCTCTTGCTGTCTTCAGCCCTGGGGACTTCTGGCTGTGCCAGCTTGAGTTTCAGGCCCTGGTGATAGCATGTTCCCAAAAATCTGGACAGATTTATCTGTGATGGGATAACCAGTCTCTGTTTCAACATCTCTGATGTGTCCATTGCTGTAGTTCCAGGCATCGCAGGGTACGATGCTCACAGTGGCCTCTTTGGATAACATGTGTGGGTTGTCTATTTTGCATCAGGGAGCAGAAAGGAAAATCCGAGATGAAGAGAGGAAACAGAACAGGAAGAAAGGCAAAGGCCAGGCATCCCAAGCCTCGTGTAATAACTGTGAGTAAGATGGGCCTTTCTGGTTTGGGGCTAAGTCACGCTTTACATGCCTCCTCTCATAACTACATTGCTTTGTGACCCTCCTAGCAGCTGAAGGAAAGTTGAGTGCACTCCCTCCGCAAAAAAAGAGTGATATCACCTTCTTCAAAACAATGGCTGACCTAGATTCCCAACCAGTCCTCTTCATACCGGATGTTCACTTTGGAAACCTACAAAGAACTGGACAGGTAGGAAATGATAATGAGATGAGCCGGTGCCCACCTGCCATTCGGCCACGTGTGCTCTGAGGCTGGCTGTAGGAAAACAAAGCACTGTTCCTGAAGCCTGTTGATTTTTGTAAATGCAGCTCTTGAGTCACTTAAAAAAAGACCTTATAAGAGACTAGTGCCTTTCTGAGTTCTGGGTGCAAAAAAGGAGTTTATACTTCATTAACAAGTGACTCATTTGTGTTTGTTATGGTTTTGCCATTCCTTTGCTGGGAAGAAAGAATGGAACAAATAGTCAAGAATTTTGACATAGAGGGTTGGTTTGTGACTGAAAGGAAGTCTGGGTTTGAATGTGCTACTTGGCTTGATGAAATGAAGTGCCACCTTGTGGTAGCAGAGATCCCCCTCCCTGTGAGAACTGAAAACAAAAGACCAAGCTCTGACATGTGTAAGGAGGTCAAGAGAAGGCTCACTAAACACCACTGCCCATTTTCTGTCGGCATCACCTAGAGATCTGGGAATTCATTGGAATAAATATTTTCACTCTACAAAGTAAGAATCTATCATGCTAATACTATATTCACTATTGGCTTAGTGCAGAAGTCATGGAGTCATTATCACCAGTTAAGTGTGAGAGAGTCTTTGTTGACTTGACTCTTTTAAGACCTACTTTATTGCTTACTGGGAAATTGCAAACCTGAATTGGAGGGTCAGCTCTAACAATTTTTTTGAATATGAACCTCTTCTTTATTAGCATCTCAGGGAGTAGAATGAGACCTATATGTGTGTGCTTATAAAGACAAATAGAAGAGGAAATTTTATATGCATCTTGCTGCAAAATATTAAAATAATGAAGATTAAATGACACTGAGTGTTAAAATTGTCATTTATTTTAAAGCAGTGAGAATTGTGGTAGAGCACAGCACAAAGAGCACAGACATTGCAATCGCAGCTGTCACTGACTTACTCTCCAAAACTGGAAAGACTCCCACTCACATATCAGTGCTGGGTACCTTCTGTCCTCGTGGCTTTCAAACCAGAATGTGGATTTGTCTCAAAACAGGAGAAGGTGGAAGCATTCCTTAGTATATGTAATCCTGTAAATAATTTTCCAAACTAGCTGGAAGACACCCCAGTTCGCTAGCTCTCAGGCAATGTTCAGCCCAGTCTTTTACTGCTGTATAGGTTGCAGTATTGGCATTCTTGCTATCTCAAACTTTTCAATTATTTTGTGTATTACTTAATATAAGAATGATTTATTATGACAATAGTTTATTATTTATGAATGTTTTATTATGAAAGTGTAGTCACTTTCAGGTCCTGGTCATAGAATGAGTTACAGACTTCAGCTTTGCACACACCCCCACCTCTGAGCTATTTTCATTGTACAGGTTCAGAAGCGAAGGCTCCCCTGGAGAGCCGAGTGTGCTCTGAGTCTTGCCAGCACAAGTGCTGGAAACCTGCCCGAGATGCCTTGCTCTGCCCCGGCAGAACGTGGGGCTCCGGTGCCCTGCCTTCGCCCCACGCTTGCACAGTAACTCAGCAGCCGGAATGCTGGTAACGCTTGTTGGTGCAGACTCATGGTGCAGGCATGTTGTGAGGAATTTGGCTGACTGTTCTGTAAAGCCTTTGACAACAGACTGTGATTTTATACCTCCCCTGCTACTGTTAGCTGCATTTGCTGCTGTTGTAAATTTGGTCCCAGTGACTGTAAGCTATACTGATTTACACAAAACAACAGTCTGGACTGGAGCTTCAGCCCACAGCCTGTGCAAAAGAGTTCAGCTGTACTATTAGTAATTGTATTTCCATTAGGCCTGTAGTTTAATGTTGGTCTTTATAGTTTAATTAGATTTTCAGGCAGTATTAAATACATAGAAAAGCTTGTGAGTGTTGTGGCTTAAATCGTATTAGGGGTAATTTAGGTGAGTAGTGATCTGATTTAGACGATTGTAAAATAATTGGGAAAATGATATAAACCAGGGGAGAGGGTAATGTCTGTCAAAATGCTTTGATATATTTCTACTAGATGATATTCAACAGCAGTTTTTCTAAGCCACACTTTTTCCAGATCACAATTAGAATTGGAGATGTTTGTGGTTTATAGAAGGAAAAGGATTTTTAACAGATGGAAAACTGCAAACCACTTGTTGTCTTTTCTCCCTTTTGAAGTTATTCTGTTAAGCAGGTGTCTGAGTTTTGGGAATAATTGTTTTGTTTTGTTTTTCCCACCCTTCTAGGTTTACTATAATACAGATGATGAGAGAGAAGGGTAAGACATTTACTGTTTCACAAGCTTTGCAGTTAGCAGTTCAAACTCATAGAAAGCAGGCATAAAACACAAAATCAGATAAAACTGATCTTCTTTCTCCCCTTCCCTTGTGTTCTCCCATCGTTAACAGGAGGTGAATAATATATTGAACTGGTAGAGGGAAGTTTATTTTTTGGTAACTTTCCTGTCCTTCATGTGAACTGGCTGCTTTTTATATCTATTTTTGATTACATTTCCAAGTAAAACAGTTTAAAGAGCCATAAGGTTCAATACAGGGACAGGACAATATATTTGATAATAAAGTGCCTTTTATATATGTAAGGGTTCTCAAATAATTTAAAACCAGGAATTTTTTAATGAAGCACTGAGCTTCACTGCCTTCCTGAAAGCTGTTTAGCAGCACACGTGTGTATGTGACAAATACAGGAACTGCAGAGAGAATGCTCAAGCGCCAGAAGAAAAAGGCAGAAAGAGTATGGGAGATCCCGGGAAGGGAGGAGGTTGGAAATGGGAGCATGCCCTCTCTGGCTTTGGAGGGACTGGAAGAATTGTAGAAAGTCCCTGAAATGAAGATGTCATGAAATAAAGGCTTTAATATGTGTGGCTGAAGTTCAGCCAGTATTAACTGTAATGTGTGCAAGCCTCATACTTTAGTAAGTTGCTTGAATCCCCAGTGAGCACCCCCAAATCTGAGAGTTTGGAGTAAGACAACTGCACTCACATAAGCCTGCATAAAGTGGCCTGTGGTAGGGAGTGGCCAGGCATCTGCAGCTAATGTTGACTCCAAAACACGAGGCCCTTTTTGTTTCTTTTATGAAGCAAATGTTCTTCATAAGGCTTACGGTAGAATTTGAGAAACAAAGGGGTTTATTGCACCAAGCACATTGGCTTTGGTTCTCTCTTCCAAGACTAAAAGGAGACACCGAGTCCCACCAGAACTACGCCGAGGGGAGGGGGTGGCCGTAGTGCCTTCGGCCCTCAGCTTCCTTGGCGGAGTGCATCGCAGCTTTGGGCTGGATCTGGCCTGGCACTTTATTCCTTTTGAACTCACTGGCTTGTACGGTCTCGGATTTTAGAAGTATTACTGGTGTTTCCTGAGGCTGTCTCCTTGACCCCAAAGAGGAGGTGAATCAATGTGTAAATGTGGGTTCAGCTCCTTGCTTAGCTGTCTCTTCCTTCCCATCCCCCTCTCCTCAATATTTAAATAGTTAAGGGCCTTTGGGGTTTTCAAAATAGTATGTAACATTGGAGCATATTTTCCTGTCACCTGTCCCAGCCAGTCAGTGTGGGCAATTTGAGAGGCCTGGAGAGTTCAGATAAGCATCAAAAGCTAAATCCTTGCAGTTTCTGGTCTGGTGCTACTTGAGTAGCTAGTGGGGTTTTTTGCCAGAGTCCAAAGTCAGTCATGACTGCTGCTGTTGTCTTGTCTCCTGCTGGGAGGACAGTTTTATTGTGACATGGTCCCTGTTGTGTGTTTTCTAGTAGCAGTGTCCTGGTCAAAAGGATGTTCCGGCCTGTGGAGGAGGAGTTTGGTCCATCCCCTTTGAAACAAATGAAAGAAGAAGGCCTGAAAAGAGGTAACAGTCAATTCTTAGAAGTTAAAAATAATGCTGTGGGACTCATACCCTCAAGCTGGGAAGGGCAGGTGTGGCTCGGACCAAGTCAGTGGTTTGATGCTAGTGCAAATGTGGGGTAGATGGGAGAAGATATCATTACACTTACCAGTATACAAGGAGACGTTTTAACAGGTGCTAATAATGATTTAAAAGCAGAAAAGAAAAAGGACTGTGCTATCTCAAGAATGGATCAGGACACACATGTATATAAAATATGAAAAAGCTAGAAAGTTTCTTGATACTTGGCCAAGCTACATAGTTCATAAATGTTCTGGTAGCAAATCTGTAGTTGTCTGGTTTTAACTTTTGCTCATCTCTTCTGGCTGCGATCACAAGCAAATATGCAAGTTGCACTGGGTCAAATACAGAGACCTTACACAGGCAAGCTCCTTCTGACTGCAGACTTAGGTTAGCCTGAATGAAATCTCAGAAATTTCCTACCCTATTAGAAATACAAGGCATGGACAGACATCTTCCAGCAGACCTAACTGAATTATTTAAGAGTTTGTTTCCCTTAACTATTTTTACTGCCCTGAGTTTAATAAATATACTGACTGTATTACTACAGTTGTGTTTCATATGCTATACCAGTACAACTCCTATTTTCCAGTTCACTGTAGTGAAGCTTAAGTTGAGTAACACTGAAGCAATGGTTTAGGTAGAGCTGTTAAACTTTCCACTGAAGGTAAGGATGAACAGATGTTGGTTTTGTCCACAAAATCTGCTTTGTGTACAGTTACTTCCAGAGCAGTGCTGTAGGTGATAATATCCTACACCCCCACAGTCAGATACCCTGGAGAGTATTTGCTATTCCTTCAGTCTCATGAGTTCTGTCATGTAAGTTGATTGGAGGCTCCAGGGGTTTGACTAACTTATGTAACTCAAACTTGCAAATGCTTTGACGTTCACCGATCAGTTTGTGAGACAACAAAGCAACAAGGTACAGAAGTGAGCTCAGTTGTTCTTAGTTGCGCTATTTGTAAGACTCATTTGAGCTTTATTGAAACAACTTTCCATGAACCTGCATTTGCAAAGTTTCTCTCTTGGCTAGGGTGGCTTGCTTGAACCAGGGGAAGCATATGAGATTACAGGATGGAAACTGATACCATCCTGGAATAAATGTGAACATATTCTTCTGTCAATTAAATATTCAGTTAATTACATGAGGTCAACACTGACCACAATCTGGCATCGATTGACTCAAGGCCTTGACCAAATTCACATTATCAGGGCTCCATCAAGCAGAAGGGGACAACCACAAGGGCTACATAAAAACCAGTCATTTCCTGCAATTTCACCTGGGTTTCCCAGCTGGAACCCTGGAGACTTGCCTGCAAGGAGGTATTGGTTTGATTTGATTATTCCTGTCCTTTGTGGTAAGTTGTTTTAATATCATCCAGGACTTGCAGCCATTTCAAGGGGAAAATATGAAAGAAGAAGAAATGTTTTTCAACTGATGGCAAAACTATGTTAAATGATTAAATCCAGGAGAGGCATGGAACCAGAGAAGCTGGAGGATGCTCTCTTCACATCCCCTTCCTGTTCAATGTTTCTTGCAACTTGGACTACGCTGGCTGGAGGCCAAGCCTCCTCCAGCATGGCCTTTGCACTGGTGAACTTCCTGCCATTGGGAGCCCTGCATCTGGGATTGTGTTGATGCAGCGCAACTCAGCTGAATCTCCCCGTTTGACAATACTCTTTGCCACAGGAGTCACTGGGTATTAAAATATTCTGCAGTTTTTTCCCATGCTTAGCCATACTAGAAGCTTTGTTTTCTCCCAGATTTATTTGGTACAGCAGAATCAGTAGCTTCTAGAGAGCAGCTAGAGATGGGGCACTGGTGTAATGTTTGAGAGAGAGCAGGTCTGATATGTGCAAATATGCATTAAAAGCAATGTAATCTCAAGATGGCTTATTATCAGAGCAGTGCAGGTAAGTAGCACTCAGTGAGGGGTCCAAGCCCAGCTGAAGAACTGAAGTGACAGTGTGTGGCCTCACCTCTGCCTGATGGACCTAATTGTAATACTGTCCAGTGGCAGCAAAAAGTATTAAAGGACAGCCTTCAAGAGAACAGGTCTGAAGGGGATTGCAAACCATTGGTAAAACAAGGTTAATATTCTCACACAGGTAGCTATGTCTTTGTGAATTATTCTTTCATCTCCTTGACCTCTAAGGGAGGTACAAGTGCCCAATACAGAAATGTAAAGTAAGTTAATCTGTACCAAGTGTGCACCACAGCTAGTTACTTGGCTAGGCTTGTGGCCTTTTCCTGTTTTGAGTTCTCAGTAAGAGTTTTCAAATCACTTTCCCTTTCAGATTTCATAGGGAGTTTCCCATTAATTATAAATCCAGAAGCTGTGGTACAGATCAGGGAGATTTCCAGTCCTGTAGTTCCCAGCTTGGAGAAAGTCATATTTTTGTCTAGCTTTTGTCTCTCAGGAAAGTTGCGTTAAACTACTCTGAAACATTTTGGATTCATAACAATCAGAGTTTTGTGAACCATCCCTGTGGAGGACAGCATTCACTCGGTCACCTAGGGAATTTGTGCCTGGGCAATTAGTGAAAACTCCAAACATGGGAAAGGAAAGCCAGGTCACAGCTACCAGCCCTACTTCCCTTGACTGCAATGTGCCACATCTCCATCCAGAGACCACTTTACAAAGACTATAGTCACTGCTCACAGCATCAGAGCATCAGTAATGCCTGAGCTCAGACCTTCGTAGTGGCCCAACTTTTACTGTCCCATCATGTCCTTAGTTTCATTTTTGCCGTGTGTCTGTTGCTTATCTTCTGCCTTGGCAGATTTGCCAATGGAGAGCCAAGCTGTTAACACTTTTTTAAAAGAGGTATCTAACATTCTTCTGCATTCACACTGAAATCCTCAGTTCAGAGGCCTGGCTTCCAGAAATCTCCCAGGTGCAATAACCTCCCTTGCCTTCAGCAAAGGCTGGTTGCCACTCCGCAGTTTTGTGAATCAGGGTTATTTCTGCAGTAACTAGAGATTAATTTATCACCCCCATCTTTTGCAATTCTTTTTAACATCTAAAGAACATTAGGGACTACAGTGGGTTTCAGTGCTGCTAGAAGGTTAAGAACTGAGGCCAGGTAGTGTAGAGGTCAGACAAATTTGAATTTATCTTTTAACTTTCAGTCAAAAAAAGCCTGGTACAAGATACTCCTCCTGCCAAAAAAAGATAAATATTGCAAGCTGTACTATTAAAGTGAGCCCGTCTAGATGTCATGAACGTGGTGACAGTAGGATGAGAGGGCATAGGTACAAGTTATGTCACATTGTTGCAGTCATGGCTTGGCATCCAGTGGCAATGCTGCTGAGCCCAACAGAGCCTCTCCAGCTCCTTTCCCTCTGCCCTGGCTGTGCCTCTTGCTGTGGGCCAGCCACCCTGCTCTCTGCGGTTATGCCAGCACCAAGGCTTGTGGGGCTGCATTGCACGCTGAAGCAGGGACCCAATCTGTCTGAAGGACAACTCAGAAAAAAGGGTTGTTTTTTCACTCACATCTGCTCTTTGAGAGAGTTCATCATCCAGGAAAATTCGTTAGGACGGGCCAGAGTAACAAAGCATGAGGGCAGGGATGGGACAGGGGCTTCTTAAGGCATCACTGTCACCACAAGTCATTTATGGAAAAGTGCCCTAGTGAATCAAAGCCAGGATTTTCACACCTGTCAGGGGAAAGAAAAAACCAACACCCCCCCATATGTTTACTAATCCTGTCTCTCTGTCTGTATAATAGTGATTCAAGCTTCCCATTATCCTTGTCATGAATCCTTCATTCAGCATAACACAGAGAAATTTAAAGCTCAGCACTTGGTGTATAATGTCCCCAACTTTAACCTTGGACTGAGTGATTTTTTTGCTCCTTTCAGGTAACATTTGCAATTATTAAGTCTGGCAGAGGTCCGGATGTTTGAAAAGCCAGGAGTTACAGGACAGCCTTCTAGTCACAAGAAAAGAATTACTAAATTAATAAAAGTGTTAGTACAGGTAAAATTAGCACTTTGAGCGAGTACTTGCTTATGCAAGTAAACATATCAGACCCAATAAAGTTTAACTACTGATGTGGATTTTTTTTGTTCTTTTATATTCTGACAGTTATTTAGGTTGTGACCCAAAGTTATCTCAGTTCCTAAGTCCTTTAAAAGCACAGTCTCAGGCAGGTCCCAAAGAATTACCAAAACGTAGGTGAAAAGGATGTGGCTCTGCATGTCTGTGGTAGCAGTTTTGTGGCTTATACTTCTGAATTAAAGGTGCAAAAACCCACCATTGTCCTGCACATCTGGTTTGTAGACCAAGACGGGACTGATCTGCCCACATTTTAAATCTTTTTTTCAATCATCTCAAAACCCCGACGAAGAAGCTACAATTCTCTGAAAATGGGCCTGAGTCTACCCTGCTGTGGTCTTGCCCTGAGAATTAGCTTCCAAACAATTGCTTCTGTATCAAAAATACCATCATCTCTGTTGGTTCATCTGGAAGTCATCTATTGAGTTACCTGGTGAAGATATCTTTTGGACCACAAGGATGAGCAGTTTCAAAAGATATCTTTTTCTGTCTACTAAAAAAAAAATTTAATTATGATAGTTACCAATGTAGTTTGTCACACAGACATAAAATACCTAACAGTGCATGTGTATTTGTACTTAACCTGCAATACTGCTATTTAAAAAGGCAGCTTATTTGGGTAACAAAATAAATGGCAGAACATCATATTTAACCTGCTACTTTATCAGAGTCATGCGAGATTATGCCTCAAAGACTTCTCTAGTGTTTATGTTTATTTGCTTTGTAGCTGTCTGCTTTGCTTTTTCCATGGAACAGCAGTTTCCTCCTTTTACCTGTACAAGGTGCAGGGGAGAAAAAGAGCTAGAGAGCACAGGGCACTGTGTCTGTGAACCACTAAGACCCGGCAGGATGTCTGAGGGAGGAAGCAGAGATTTTCAGGAGTGCAAATGGCATTTGGGTACCTGAGCAGGGGTGGGCATGCAAGTAAATGCCTGCCAGGCAGGCATGTACTTTTGGATGTCTCCTCTGTAAAGTCTCAAGTGACTTTGGACTCATTCTTTCCAGTATTTATTTTCAGACTGTCCAGGCCCATTTACAGTCCACATGGTAATGTTGGAGAGAACTATTTCTTTTCCTTTTTGATTTTGCTCTCAAAGGCTCAGTTAAAGGCAAACCAGACTTGCCTTTTCTGAATGTCCTTTCCCAGCCTTTTGGATGAAGCCTGGAGAGGTGCAAGCTGAAACACAGGTTTAGGAAAACCTAGCTTGTGTGTTTTGTCCTGTGATCCAGGGACGGGGCCCCAGTGCTTTTTAGGTTCACTTATTTCAGTAAATGGAGGTTTAAATTCTTGAAGATATACATTCCTCACATTGAATTTTCTGAATTTTATTTGTGTGTTTTCAAAGCAACTACAATGTGTCTTCCATGTTTAGATCACTGATAATATGAAAGTACATTTTTGCAAGTGCAAACTGTCTTCAGCACTTCGGGTTATCTGTCATGGATTAATATTTGTTTTTCTACGCAGTGTGAGGTGTTTCATCTGTTCAATTGACTGAACCTGCTCCAAGTTTGACTTTTTTTTCTGTTTCAGTGCTTTTGTATGTGAGGAAGGAGACAGATGAGGTGTTTGATGCTTTGATGCTGAAATCACCTACAGTAAAGGGGCTAATGGAAGCGGTAAGTATCTGATGTCCTCATGTTGTTTGCCTAGGCAAGAAAATCTTGAGGCTTTCAATGTGTTATTGAGATGAAACATAATATAAAGATGAAGTTATGCTCAAATACATTTGAAGCATTTCATAAAGACTTTCTGGAGCATGCCTCTGAAATGCTAGCATGTTCCAAATTCAGTGCTATCAGCAAGTTGCTGGGATTAAATAATGTCGCAGAGCTGATTTTCTGGAGACATGAGCCTTGAGGAGTGGCGGTACTTAACCAGTGTCAGGGAACAGGCTCCATTTTCTGAAATGCTTCTTTCTGAACTAGTGATTCTTTTCCTGTAATTCCTGTTGGTATGTTTACAGACATCTTTTAAAGAAGAGCCCCAAGGATCCACTGTTTCCGTGTGAATTTCATACAGCTTTGTACAATTGCTGTTCCAGCCTGTAAGAGGCAGTTGCTGAGCCAATGCAGCTAGTCATTTGTACCTGCTGTCTCAAATTCCTTCTCTAGCCCTCACTCCCAGAGTGACCTACCTATCAGCCTTCCTCTTTGCTGTTTCTTTGACTTGAGTTTTTGCTTGTTACCCGTGAGCTGTGATCAAGAGTGGCTATTTCCATGTTTAATCCAGTTTATATGAGCTGATGGCTAGTAGATGTGTGAAATTTGGTAAGGGAAGAGTTAAGAAGCAACCACTGCTTCAGTGGGGGGACTAATGTGGGATTGACATGTGGGACACTAAGTTGATTTCTAGCCTTGGTTACATGGAGGGGAGAAGATGGGAATGGATGAAAGTGTCCCTAGAGAGCTCAGCTGAGTGCTAGAAGTGTGTTTATTCATACTCTTATAAAACTGTCAGTGTCTTGGTACATATACTGGACACTTCACATGCAGTAAAGATTGAGTTATTTGGTCAATATTTGGCCAGTAGCAGAAGGCAAAAAGAGATTTGTGGGTTGGTGAAGTTGTTTAAAGTACCTGTTCAGATCAGGGCATCTCTGAGGAGGGTCAACTGCATTCTAAGGATGTCCTAACTGCTTTTGCCAATACTGCTTGTTAGCTGTGACTGCAGCGCAGTTGTTAGGCAGAACACACGTGTATAATAAAAGTCAGACTTCACTTGAAGAGGCTGCAGTCTGATTCATGATAAGCTATAACACGATTTCATCTTGTCTTTGTATGGAAGTTAAAAGTATGTTATAATCCTGCTATAACCCTTCAGACTAACATGAATGTTTTATCTCCAGTAGTCTGTGCCTCTCTATGCCTATTCTCCAGCCACTGTGTAACATAAAAACAAAGCTGGTGCAGAAGCAGGAAAGGTTTCTGCATACCTCTGTCAGCACAGCTGCTGACTCAGTGGCCTGTTTTCGGCACCAGAGAAATCTGATCTGTTGTAAAATATCCCAGTTCACGGGAAAACTTTAATTCCCTTGGTAGGATATTGTGGATAAATGAGTGCCAAAAAGCTGTCAAACTGCATATTCTTAAATACTCTCTCTAGGGTCGTTTCAACAAATCATGTAATTTTGTAATTGTGCACATCCTAAATGCTCAGTTCTAAACTCAATATTAAAAACTGAGGATCTGAATACTATAGAGCCCTAGATCTGAAAGACAGCACCAATGATCCTGAATTATACCCTCCTTCTCTGTTTCTGGAGTTTACTTTTTTTTTTCCTTGTTAATCACTATTCCTGGTCTGTGACTTTCTCCTAATTTTCCACGACTAATGATATTGTTTTCTCAGATACTATGTTTAGTTTATTCTCTTGTATACCCCCATTCCAAATGAACAATTAGATTCCTTCTCAGATTTATTTCTTCAGGCAAATATCTAGAGGTCTCAGGTTTCAGAGATACAGAACATCTCAGGAAGTGATGCAAAATCAGGTTAATTCTGTGGCTCACACTAGGTATCTCAGTCTTACATTGTGCATAATCACATATTTATTCAAGTTACAGAAGGTGATCTAAATTGGGAAATTCAGGCACCTCCAAAAGTTTTTCTAAAATTAAAAGCTAACTGCTGAGCTCGATAGAGCTTGCTTAGACCAAAGTTTATTAGATACCTGTCTATATATGTGTCCAACCAACCAATGTAGGGCAACAGACTGGACCATTCCATAGCAATATGTTGGCAAAGATGTTTTCCTACATGCCTCGACCAGCCCAGATGTTGCTCTTTCGGTCTTCCTGACTCCAGCAGAAAAAGCATTCCTGGTGGCTTGTGCAATCAGATATGTGCTCCAGACAAACTTGCTGTGCCATGGGACTGCAGCTCAAAGGGACACCCAGAGTGTTACTTCAGGTTGTCCCGCTGCTTCAAGCATCCTAAGGGAAGGAAAGAATTCTCTGCTCAGAAGATTGAAAAATGGACAATGGCGATGATAAAGGAAAATAGTCCTCCAAATAAAGACATCTTTTTAAAATTTATTGTAGCCTGCTTGAGGTCAGGTGAGAAATGCTTTTGTTTTATATGGAAGTTGGCAGTAGTGGTGTTCCCTCTGAGTTGGCAACGAACATGTTTCAGAAGAGGGTGTTAAGTGAGATGCCCTAGCAGATGCTAGCTCCCTGCTTTCTCAGATTCTGCAGCAGGACTTAGCACATTTGCACTGGAGACTTGTTTTCTGGGCCTGTGAGGGGGAGGATCTCCCATACCCCCACTTTGAGCCTTGCTTCCACAGCTTGCTGTTCAGTATAATTGGTTGAATCCTTAGGGGTTGCTGAGAAATGTGCTTATTCAGTCAGTTGGAAATCTTTCGCAAAGCTCACTAATCCCTGTGTGTTATATAAATCCTACACCTGTCATAGGCAGTGTGACAGGCAAGGCTTTCTCAGCCCTACCTCTCATAGCTTATGTAGGAAGCAGTGTCCCAGAGTCCCAAAGCACTTCTTTGAGCAACATTTGGAATGTGTGAGTGTTAGGTATCCCAAATATCCTCGGGAAGTTCTATGCTGGAATGTGCAGAATGCTGTATATTAGCTGCTATTAAACCTCCTTGGCACAGAAATGTTTCTCCCTGCTTGTTTATTTGCATGGAGTCAGTGAAAAGTGTCTTCAGGTACTGATCTTTAAAATATCACTAGGCTTCAGAGTTAACAACCTAGAGAGGAAGATATATCATTTTCTCATGTATTCTCATAGTTGTGACTTTTTTTGCAGTTTCAAGTTGCAGTTTTTCTCTGATGCTTGTTAGAAAGGATTTTTTTTCAACAATCTGATGAAATGGAGCCATTTTTACTATTGCTTTACATGAAAGCTTAAATTTAGGGGTACAACAAAGAGATACAAAAAGTTCAGCACCAGATTGCTTATCTGACATTGTTTTATTCATGGTGAGCAAAGCTAGAGGGTGAAAAAGAATAAAAGGAGAACATGAAAATTTCTCTGAGAACTTCTCTAAGATGGTCAAAATTTGCCCTCCCGGTGTGGTACCTGGGTACCCCAGAGGAGCCACCAGCCTCAGGTCAGGCAGCTGCCCTCTGTGGGCAGCACAGGATGAGGCATCGAAGGAAGGGAGACTTGGAAAGATGGTGGTAGACAGGGGTAGAGTGTGAGTGAGGGGCAAGGTGTGGGTACCTACACAAGTGCTTCTGGCTAGAGGTAGATGATTCCTTCTACTGGGGATCCTGCCCATGGGTCCTCCCTTGGATTTATGTGCCTAGGCTGGGTGAGGCGTTCACAAAGGCTAGGTGGGGCAGCCTGTCCTTTCTGTGATGGAGAGTAGCTGCAATGGGTTAGGACATCCCCCACGGGGATATGGCAAACCCTGGGTTCGAATCACCCTTGTTCTGCTCTGTTTGGAGCAACGACTTGAACTTGCTACAGGTAAGCTGAGTATGTTATGGAACTTCTTTGTAGGATGCATTTCCACCCTGTGCATGTGGTTACATAGCTTTTCCATAGGCTACACAGAGCCTTTTGCATAGGGTACATGGAGCTCAGAGTGAAAAAGATTGGGTTTATAGTTCAATAGTGAGGATGCCTGTGTGACACATAAAACAAGTGGGGTGAAACCCCTCTTCTCTTAATGTACAAAGTGGACCACTCCCCACAGCAGGGAGAGTGTGACCGTACAGCATAGGAGCTTGTGCTGCCTAAACAGTGAATTAGGCCTCTCCCAAGGCAAGTGAGAACATGGAACCGGGACTACCATCAGTATCTCCAGCACCATATCCAAAAGGGCAATGAAACATGCTGGTGCGAGTAAAACCAAAGTAGCAAATACAACCCACAGTTTAGTTTATATTGTGTTCTCTGCCAGGTGCAAAACTTTGGGAGTGGATGGATCTAGTGTACTTTATCAGTTACTCCTTATTTACATCCTCCTCTTTCTGTTAGTCACAGACGTACACTGTGGTCAGAAGAAACTGTTTGCAGTATAAAAGCAGCTTTATCGGTTCTTCAAAATCTTGGAGTTACGCTATACTTTTTAAGTACAAAATTGTATCTTTGATAAGATGACAATTATACAACTATAGGTAGGCAAGTATAGGACAATTAATTCTCTCTCTTAGGGAATCCTGGCTCTCTGGCCAGGAGCCGTGCTTGGGGTTCAGCCTGTGGCTGTTTGAATCTGTTCTTGGTGCTGAATTTATCCATTGCTTTCTTTCCATTTTCTGTTTAATGATAATTGCTTTAATTTGCTTCTCAAAAATATCACTTTTTCTCAACGGAACTCTGAATGCAAACACAAAGAAAGGATTTTTACAGTGACTGATGTCTGGCAGTCTTTAAATGGATTTTTAATTGTGCATTTCAGTTCTCTAATTCAGAAGATAAATAGTCAGCTATTTAGCTGCAACTTCATTTCACCTGGGAAGAGCAGGAAACTTACTTTGGTTGGCAGTAGTGTACCACAGAACATTAATCACTGACAAAAAGTCAGTGAAAGATTTTTCCATAATTATTTTGCCTTTTGGGACAATCCTCTTCTAAAGTATGACCTGTGTGACCTGTTCCCTCAAAGAAGAGTCGTAATTTGGAAAGGAAACCTGGCTCAGGCAGAGGGCTCAGAGACACCATCTCCATGAGCACACCACAGGCTCACTGCAGAACGGACGCCCAAAAAAGTTGCTGACACACTGCTGCAAAGCAATGCCAGAGCATCCTGGTGAAGTGCTTGTTAGTGTTGGTAATTTGTCAGCTAAATAGTTCTTCCTTCAAAAGTTTTCCTATATTTTCTGCTTTATCATTTCAGTAGCTGGCAAGAAGTTTATTTTAGAAGTCCTTTACCTTAACACACTTCTCTGTGGCATCTCATCTTGTTATCTGTACACGCAGATGATGTTTTGTGAGCCAAATAGTTTTCTCATTTTGCCATCCTAGTAACTAGACTGAGTCACCTCCCCAATAATACAGAAGCTTCCTAATGCTACGTGTAGCATGTTTGTAGCCCTCCTGCAATAAAAGGTACCTTGAAGATACTTTTCAAACAAAAGTAGTACCATGGGGGGGGGTCCTGTTAGCTTAACAAACCTTGAAATGCCAATGACAAATAGAAATATGCATGTTTTTTTCGGTTGATCCATCAATCCATCAGCTCCTGTTGTGTTGCCACTCATCTGCCTTCTGCTTGGTGGAAGAAGCCTTTGCTTCCTTGCGCCCAGAAAATCAAAATAAGAAGCATCAGAAAAGCGGCTGATCGGATTGAAATTCCCTGATAAAATCTGAAACTGGGAAGAGTGTTGACTCCTTGAGCAGAGCAGTAGGAGAAGCTGAGGCAGTTTTGATGACCGACACACTATGAAAACTATAGTCTTCAAGTTTCTGGATGGAAACAATTGTGGTGTTTTGATCAAGATATTTAGGATTATTCCTCCCCGATTCATCCTTAAATGAAGCCATGGTATGGTTGTGAGTGACTTTTCTGTATAGCTATCCTGTCAAAGTTTGCAGAGACAGTGTTTTAATGCCTTATGTAAAGTGAGAGGTGATAATTTAATATTTCTTGTTAGTCTTTTTAAATGATATTTCTTTTATTTTTATGATTTCAGATCTCTGAGAAATATGGGCTGCCAGTTGAAAAGATAGCAAAACTTTATAAAAAGAGCAAAAAGGGGTAAGTAAACTAACTATGAGCTGTTGCAGGATCCTTTAGAAGTACTCAGAGATCCCAACTAAGCTTGGGCAGTATAAATACTTTTAGGAGACATGCCTATACGCTTGAAATCTTAATGTCTATGGAGACAGCAAGGGGTGGCAGAAGAGGAAACATGAATCTCCAGTCTGTGTCTGACCAGTATTTATAGGCTTACTGTGAAGAAACAGAATTTGTGTTTGGAAAAGGTATTTGGGTAAAGTCTGTTTTCTAGACTATGTGCTTAATAATACTGTGGAGAGCTAGCATGGGAGAGGTGCAGCCTTTGCTGTGAATGCAGTGTGGAGTTTCCCTGCGGTGTTACAAAGAAGTAGGCCACTGTCCGAATCTGAAAGGCAGGCAGGCAATGTTTGCTGCAGGGATTTCAACTGCATAAATTTAGACATGAGCATCACAGCTGTGATTTTAGAATAGCTAGGCTACTACTCCTTGCCATAAATCTAAATCTCTCCACTTAAACTTTTTTTACTTCTAAATACCCACAATATTGTAGTGATATAATTTTAAATCAATCATGTATTTTCAGCTGTAACTCTAGCTTAGGGCATTGTTTTGTCTGGGGATTTCTTTAGCTTTTGAGAAGACAGGTGAAACTTCTCATGTTTTGCTTCTTTCTAACACTGTTTCCAAGTGATGTTTATTGGAAGAAACACTTTATTGTAAAGAGTTGCTGATATTCTCACATCCAAGCTGAGCTCCAGGCCTGTGAGCTGTGTGCAAAGCACAAATTACACTGCTTTCCCCATGTTAGCAACTCACACCACAGAGGTGCAGCAGCTCACGCGGCCTGGCTGAGGAGCAGCGTGGAGGTGTACCTGGGGAGCCAACACCAGGCATGGGAAACACCAGCTAGCTGGGTCTGCCAGGGATCTGGAGCGCAGCTCGCTCTGTAGACAGCTTAAGTGGGTTAACACCCCAGCACTGGCATGTCTCTTAGTTTAACCACTTTGGCAAGGAGCAGCCTTTAATCCAAAGACTGTAAGGGACTATGGGGCAGATCTTGGTGATGATTCCCACTATCGTCCCTGTACTGGCATGTACTGGAGTCTGGTTTTGAATCATAGTGAAGCGAGCACGTGAGGCAGAGTGCATGGCTTTCCCTTTCAGTGTCCTGGTACATAAAAGTGTTGACTTTTGCCTTTGTCACCAGTATCTTGGTAAACATGGATGACAACATTATTGAGCACTACTCCAATGAGGACACGTTCATCCTACACATGGAGAGCATGGTCGAAGGCTTCAAGATCACACTGACAGAGATCTAGCCTCAGGCAGAGCCTTTTTGTAAGGAACCACAGCATTTCATCCTTCTTGGAAAGCAGAAGATTCCCCAGGAACTTGACAGACATTGATCAGAGAAACTGTTACAAGACTGCTTTGAAAATAACTGTCCATTCTGCACATGTGCACCCACTGCATATAGACTTGGGTTTGTCAAGCACAAGGCCACTCATGTTAACCTGGTCCCTTATTTATTGTTCCCCACTCTCTAGTGTACAAGCAGTTACCAGCCCCCAGATTTGTAACCAGATGACCCACTGCAAATGTGAAATGCAGCATTTTAATCCATACTTTAGTGTGGACAAGCTCATTCTAAAACACGTTAAGGAACCATGTTTCAGAAATCTGGTGTAAATCACTTTACCAGTAGTTCTCTCCGTCATTGCTAAAATACTGGTGCAGTGCTAAAGATGGGGAAAGTGGCTGACAGTTCACTTGCTCATACTGATCCGTATCTCTCTATAGTGTATAGTCTTGCCAAATACCTCTGGTAGTTCTCAGCATGTAGCAATGAGGACTTGTAAGTAAGGCATTCAGCTACAAATGTCACTTGTAAGTAAATGGTAAAGAAACCATTTTAACCTTGTATATAATGTTTATAATATGCAATAATATATTTTAACTACTGTATGTGGGCATGTTTACTGCCACTATGTTTTTGTATGTATTGGGTTTAGGGTTTAACAGAATCTTTCCTAGAGGATTAGATTGCTGCAATCTGTTAAGGAGTGTGTACTGAGAAGCTAATAACTGCATCTGCACTTGTATGCTCCACCCTTGCTCACCCAGTTTTGTGCTGAAATATTGGAGCAAACCATGCTGCAGGGTCTGGAGTGCTCTGGCACGATGAGACCCACCTTAGGTGCCCAATTCCCAGCTGTAGATGCCGGAGTGTCCCATCCAGCTGTCATCACCAAATCCAAGAGGCACCATGTGTCTGCTGTCTAGAGGTACAGAAGGGACTTCTGCCTGTTCTGTTGATGCAGTGGAACCTCTCAAAGTGGGCTTTTCTCAAGCCGCATGAGGGAAGGGTGCTTTCTGCAGCACCCTACTCATTAGAGCATTCCTCTAGACTGTAAGAAACAGGACTTCAAACTCTTCCTTGTAAGGTTACTTGCTCTTGTATCTCCATTGAATGATTCTGTTTTGATTCCTAGGACAGTTGGGTGAGGTATAAACCTGGGCTTGATGTAAATATTTAATTGAAACTGGAACAATTTTACCAGTGGAGGCTGAGTATCCCACACCTGAGGTGTGGAGAGAGAGATGTCTCTCACAAGGGCTGCATCTGAACCCAAGTTGAACTACATGGTTATCCCATCAAATTCCACCCGTCTCATGAATTCTGTGAAGAGAGAAAGTTGCAGGCTAACATAGTACCAGGAAAAGGGTTCAAGGCCTGAATGTCCCTAGCACATCCAAACCCAGCACCTCTCTCTCACCTTTCCAGCTCCTCTGGCTGTTGTAGAGAGCTCCTCACTCAGCATACAATCCTGTGAGTTTAAGCTGCAAGCATTTTCTTCTTGATGCACTGTATGTGGATCCTGTGTGACAGACAGAAATGTGGGCCCTTTCCTACATGCAGCCTTTAGAGTTTATTTTTGTTCCTTCTGAAATATTTTTTTCTGTTTAGTCACAGAATCTTTTTTTGTTAGGTGGTTAATGACATAAAGAGACACTAACAGGGCTCATTCTGTAGTGTTTGGAGGTATGTGGAGCTATTTACATTCAAACAAAGTAGCTAGGACAGCTGACCAGTCTGATTTGGTCATGTTTTTTCATTAATTGTCCTGCAAGCTCTTGCACGCTTTCTTAACTTCATTAACAATAGCATCCCATTAAAATCTGTACTTCAAATAGAAATGTTAGATACTTGTCAAAGTTTCTGTGGGACCAGAACCTGTGAAAGGCTGTTAGCATCGGGGCTAACATACCCGGAATCCACATATGTCTGCAAAACAAAATGTCTGTTCTGCCTCCCTCCCTCTTCCTCTGTCATTTGTTCTTCCTCCTTCTGATGCAGAGTTTTGTAGTAATTCCATTATCTTTTTATAGATGTGTACTCCAGCAAAGATGCTCTTGCTACCCTGCTCAGGAGCAGACATCCTGAGAATACAGGGGATTTATGGTGGTTCGGTTTGTTTCTATTTGGCTCGGGCTCAGATAAAAAGTCTATGCTGACTTAGCCCAGATACTGTTATGCTAAAGAAAAGAAAGGACAGTTTTGGCAGGTGGCATTAGGAACTGGGGCCAGCATGCAGGACTGTTGAGCAGTGGTGTGTATTCTTGAATTTCTCTGTTTGATGGTGTTTGGGATCCTAGGGATATTAGCTGGGATCTCTCAGTTAGTCATGATGTCTGGGCAGAAGCTGCAGGTGAAGCATAGGAGTAAATGTACGTGGGAGTTGAGCCCTGGTTCTGCCCCCAACAAACCTGCCATCTGAGCTCCCTGACTTACAGGGAATGCCTGTGGTGCCTGGGCTGGCCTGGGTTGGGATGTGCTGCACTGAGAGAGGACAGTGAGAAATTGGGATTCACAGAGAAGGGCAGGGCTGTCCTGGCAGCACCAGCACTCAGGTTAATGGGATGTTCTTATCTTACTCATGGGTGGAGATGAGTTTGGATCAGATGGATGCTGCAGCATCCTGTACTGAGGAGCAATGTAGGATCAGTGAGTAGTGCAATGCTCCAGGAAATACTGGGGCTTGAGGAGCTATCTTTCCAGTGCTGTTTTAGGAGCTTTTGGTCACGTGCTGTCCAGGGCAGGAAAGATTAACTGAAAGCTTTTCTAAATAAATCTTAGGTGTGCGAATTCCTGATACAAGAGAGCTGATACTCCTGCCTTTAGTTCCTTCTTACAGTCTCAGTGAAGGTAGCAGGGTTGAGGAAGATGAGAAGGATTTACCCTGATGGTAAGATTATTTTAAAACAACAACTAGAGCTAGTTAAGGATGATCTCCTTTAACTTTATCTGCCAAGGTCTGAGCGCTTTGTTTCTCTGCTCCAGATGCAGATGCATTGCAAACACCTAAGACATTACAAAGAGCACACCACCCTGCACCCCTTCAGTTGTAGATACAACATCAGCTGCTGAAGGAGCACTGAACCTTGGATGCTGGTGGTGACAAGCTACTAGCTCTCAGGGTTCACCTTGTTGGTAAAAAACGGGCTATCAAAGTGATGGGGAAGGGCCAGTACTAGTACTGCAAACTTCTGAAGCAGTGGCCTGCCTCATGCCCTGCTTGATTCAAAGGTCTTGAGGAGTACAAAATGCTTGCATGTATATTGTTTAAAATATACATGTTGCTTTTGTTTAATGAAAAATATTGATAAACGCTGGATCTTCCAAATATTATGAGTTAAATGGAAGTAAGACTTGGCTGCTGTTCAGCAGGGGACAGGAATAACTGCCTTGCCTCCTTTTGTGTCTTTGCGGCACTTCTGTGCTTGTTTATTTAAAGGAACAAAACTCTCATTGCCTTTCCTTCTTCAAGACGGCAGTCTTGAGTCTTAACTAGTGCAGCCTGAAGGGTGGCTTGTGGCTCAGCTGATTTTCCCTATGAGTGCAGTGTTTGTTGATATTGTGTTTTGAAAGATTGTGATAGAGATGTGCAAAGGGAGAATAGTCTTCTAAGCTCTAATTTTGGTTCCTGCCACAGGTTTAGCACAATGTCCGTCCATTTGATGTTGTATGGTGAAACCCGCAGATCTCAAATTTTAGTTTCTTTCTACACAGTCAGGTGCTGATATCCCCAAAACAAAGCGTATCCTTGCAATGAAGCTTTGATATCCCCATCAAGACATTTTGGAGGATTTTTACCGCTGAATGTTAACTACAAAGAAAAGAACTTTTTTTTTCCTGTGTGTCCTCTCTCATGAAGTTTTCGATCAATGGAATTCAGACATCAAGTGTCTGTCTTGTATATTTTCCTCTTTCAGTCTATGGATTGTTTAAATGTTGTAAATTAATTCAAACAATTAGTAAAAACTAAACTCTTCAGCTCTGAGATGCTTTATATTGATTGATATGGAACTGGAAAGGAGTGTCTTATGACTTTTAAAATGTAAAGCTTATGAAATGTTTATATGCTCTTCCATTTCCTATGAATTGAGACAAGATACAAACAAGAATGTTTGTGCCAAAGTTTGTGAAAAACCCTCTTTCTGGCAAACAAGGAAACTATGTATAAATAGTGTGCTTTTATATTAAGAAGGTAGCTCATGTAACTTAATAGTGTTGCAACTGGGAGAGGGGTTGATAAACTGTAAATACAGTTATTTTATTTTTTGTACATTTTTAAGAAGGAAAAAAATAAATATTCCTATGTATGAGATAATATTTCTGTTGCTGTGGTGTGTATTACTACATACGGGGGATTGAGTTCCTACTTCTGAGCCCAGAAAGCTTTTCAAAAAGATGAAAATAGAAATTAATTCTACGAAGAAAATAAGAACAGAGACTGGAAAAAATAATCACCAAAACATGAGTTGAATGCCTGGCCTGGTGGGTGTGGGGGAGAGCAGTGGATATCATCTACCCAGCTTTGACACTGTTTGCTGTAATATCCTTGCAGAGAAGCTGTTGCTGTACAGGCTGGATGAGCAGACAGGAGAACTGAAAACTGAATGGCTGGGCCATAGAGTGGCTGCTGGTCAGTGGCATGAAGGCTAGTTGGGGACCAGTGACTAGCAGGGTGCCCAGGGGTCAATACCACATCCGGTCCTGTTCAACAGTGTGCTGGTTTTGGCTGGGATAGAGTTAGTTTTCTTCACAGTAGCTGCTATGGGGCTAGGGTTTGGATTGTGCTGGAAACAGAGTTGATAACACGGGGATGTCTTTGTTACTGCTGAGCAGTGCTTACACAGAGCCAAGGCCTTTTCTGCTCCTCACACCATTCCCATCCAAGCAAAATTCATCCAGTAGTATCCAGCTCTAAGAGCCTTTTCACAGCCACCAAAGGTTTTTAAAAAAGGCTTTCCCTGT